GACCTTTGTAAAAGGAATTCCCTACGATATCTTGGACGAGGATTACTTTGATGCTCGTCAACAGAACGTGTTGGTCCTGGATGATTTCCTGGCCGAAGCAAAGCACGACAAGCGTATTTCGCGGCTGTTTACTCAAACCTCACATCACAAGAATGTATTGATCTTTCTCTGGATACAAAATCTGTTTCCGAGAGGTAAGGAATCGAGAGACATTGCTTTGAACGCGCATTATGTCACCCTGTTTCATTCCCCCATAGATAAACAGCAAATCAAACTCTTCGCTCGTAGAATTTTCCCCGAACATATGGATCACTTTTTGGCTATGTATGAAAAGGTTGCTGAAACACCCTATGGACAACTCACCATCGATCTAAAACCTACCACCAAAGATAAGGATCGACTGCATGTTAACCTCATAAATAAGGAAAACAGGAGAACAACAGCACAGTCTGAACCTGATCTGCGTAGGGAGAAGTTGACTACAACAGAATCTCTGGATCGTCCTCTGACACAAGAAGAGAGATTGCCCCAACATCAGCTCACGCCAATTGAAACCGATTCAGACACGAGTAGTGAGACATCATTGACTATGGCCACGGCTTGCGCAGATTGCGGGGTGCTGATAGATAACATGCACGATCTACAGCGACATATCAAACACTGGTGTCCGGCCAATAGCCTTCAACCTAAGAGAAAGTGTGCCAGACTCGAGAGTGATGACGATGACAGTGACTTTGACGACCTAGCCTCTTCCCAGAAAGGCAGTGGTCTTGCTGTCAAACCTCCACGTGGGAAGTCAACATTCACCAATATGGAAGCCGAGGAGAGGCAAAATGTAGGCTTACAGCGCATCTGGAAGCAGGTGTTCGATACGTTTCATGACAAGATGAAACTGCAGAAAAAACAGTACAAGCGACAGGGACGAACGCAAGAATGGATTGAGAGAAGATTGAAACTGAGGTGGGAGGATCTAGTGCACAGTACTCTCAACTATGCGATGGAATATACCACGTACTTTAAAGAGGCACCTCTGTTTCAAAACATGCTATACAACCTGGGAGACATGAATCCTTCCACGGAACAATCCGTTCTCAAAAATAAAATCAAACTCCTCCTAAAACCCAAGATGAAAGAGATCCTGCCTTTGATGGATATGCCGGAAATAGAAAGTGAGACTGAATCTGATAGCGTTGCAGAGGATAACGACGGTGATGACGAGGAGGAGGATGATGATCGTGAGCAGAACGATTAGGCATAAATACCTATCACTACTATATCAGTCTAACAATCAGAAGAGAATGCCGAGTCAACGCCACGCGTCTAGTTTGATTCATATTTTGAAAACACCTCGTAAACTGAGGCGTTTGAACGATAAGAAACGCCGAATTTCCCTGTACGTGAGAGGAATTGTGAAACTGGGACCTCCTGGACGGAAATCGTTACAAGCAATGGATAAAGCATAGACTATAGACAACCATTCAAACTTAAAACAGTGTAGAAAAGGAAACATTCAACAGTGCGAAATGTGTTTCAAAACATGGACTCGCTGTTTAAACAATAGGGCCTTCGAGCAGCAGAAGCATGTGTATATGAGTGACTAAATAATGTTCCAGAGTGAATACTATTGTCCATTCGTATATCACGGCTTTGTATGGAACCGATTGACTCGAATCAATAAATGATACGAATGAATTGTTTGGTTTTTTTCTCAGTTTTTGGCATATTAGTATATAGTCTTCGTCATAATACACCCGTCAAGGTCTCGGGTTATAGAATCGACCTTCAGTAGCCCATGCTTATCGGTGACCGACGGGGATCGGTTGGTCAGTCTCGCCGACTCGGATGACACGTGCCATCGGTTCCTAGTTGCACAGATCGCTGCTCATGCTGTTGATAACTGGATTGTCTGGTCCAAGCTCGTTTATTGACAGACCACCGTCCTAGAGCTGGAATAATGCCGAGTGTGGCGTAAAACTAAATTCACTCACTCACTGATACCAATACATCTAAAAAGTAATGTCATCGTTTAAATGGTGAGTTTAAACGCATATTTTACCCTTACAAGGACGAGTGCATTCCACACACCCTTCCTGTTATCCAATGTGTCACTGTTTACAGTTCGGGCGAACATAACCCTATAGACATGTGTGCGGGCGAGTTCATCAAACAATTTTCCATGATAAACTCTGTTCTCTCTTCGAATTAAGGGTGAGTATTGTAAACATGAAAATGATGTCCTATAGATTGCTTCCATCACTTTCCCAACAAACCTAGCTTCGTGCCGTCACACGGGTACATGTACTTATCAGTTTTCTATCTATTTTCAAAATAGCACGTTCTGAAGTAAAACTGTGCACATCATGTTACACGGTTAAAACTCAAACCGTAGGGCTTATTTGTCATCGCGTTAAATGGAAAAGCTAGCATTGAAACATCAACTATGCAAGTCGGGACAGGGCTGAATAATTCTTTACAAATGGTTCACAATAGTACGCAGCGCGGGTGATTCGAAATCCGGTTGCCTTCAGCGTTATAGTCAATGCAGGGTGACGTGACTTCCTCGTTCTTGCGCGCTAAATGTAATTAAACGACACTGCTAGCTTACTGATTGTGAAGTCTTATCTATTTTGTCTATATTTTTTTCTATACAGGTTGTCTAACGTTCATGGTGTACAACGTGTAGACCGTACAAGATGAATTTGATCCAGCTAGACGTACATTTTTTATTCCTACATTACCCGGCGTATATCGTGTTGACACAACCCGTCTCTATTGTGGTATGATGTACTTTCAACACACACCCTGTATTCATCAAACCAGGTCGCACGCTCTAGCGAGCGCGGGTTAAACGACGAGGCCACGTGAGTTGTCAAGCGCGCAAACCTTTCATTCCCCACCCTTTCCCGACGCGCTGTTGATGCATGAGTCATCCTATCCGATCACGTGACTTGGATCAACCAATCACCTTCGCATCCGCCTGGATCAACCAGATCAACCAAAAAAGGTTCCTGTGGACCCGTTCTATACTACTCACTACGATAGTTTGGATGTGTTTTTCGTTTGTTTTTTCTCTGGGATGGGTTGTAGCGAGGGTATCCTTAAACGGGCATACAACCAAGGGTTTTCCCCAGGAATGTGGAAGTAGTCAGTGTTTACGCCATTTCAAGAATACAGTCACGTGAAGAACGTCATGTTGAATGTCTTTCAGAGTTGGGTAAGTCAGTGCGTGATGTCATTGGTAGAATGAACAAACTGACCCATTCTGACCCAGCCAACTGTAATCACGAGTATGGCTAACCCACCTGAAAAGTTAGTAGTTGTTCCCACTGACAAGGCCTCAAATAACATAACTATTATATGTTAGTATCATTAATTGTTTGATCAGGGAACTTGGTATAAATGTCTTATCAAATAATGCCAGTATGTTAACTGAGAAAGAAATCTGCCAAAATCATAAATCAGTACTGTCAACTTTTGACCTGACTCTTAAAACTGACGACATGTCCATTCCTCTTTTGTACTGTATTCCAAAGCACCCTAAAAACCCGTACACAGAGAGATACATTGCTGGGACCGGCAAATGTACCACCAAATCATAGAGAACTCATGTCCAAAAGGGTAACCATCATCCCTAATCCGACCGCCTCCGTGGTCTAGTGGTAGAGCGTCCGCCCGGAGAGCGGAAGGTCCAGGGTTCGATCCCCGACCGCGTCATACCAAAAGACGTTAAAAGACGGTGCTTGTTGTTACCCTGTCTGGCGCTCGGCATTAAGGGGCTAAAACAAGGACTGGTCGGTTCGGAGTCAGTATACTGTGTCTGAGTTGGGTATTCATGTTAAACTGCGGCATGGTATCTCAGTGAGCTAGCACTATAAATCGGCGTCAGTCCGGACTTGTACAAGCAGCCACACACACACACACAAACACACACACGTACATGCACGTCGCTATATAAGTGATCTTGGACGCGACGTTAAACCCCATTTCACCTCACCTCACCTCATCCTTATTCCAGTCAAGGAGGGTTTTCTTTACATTCTATATTTTCTTTATATTTGAGCAAGTGGAGTTAATATCACGTGGATTCTCAAAAACTCGAAGGATTTGCTTGACCTTTTGCAACGACAGAAAAGAACCAAGTTCCATTCTGTCAAGACATTTGATTTTTCAACTTTGAACACCACTATTCCACATGACAAATTAGGGGGAAACTTCATTCCTTGATCCATGGGGGCTTTTGTTATAAAACATTGCGAACACAGATACAGTTACGTATCTATATTCAGAGGTTCAGGACAGTTTGAGAAAAATGAAAGCAAATGACATCTGAAGTTTACTGAGAAAACACTGTGTGAAATGCCGGACTTCCTCACTGATAACTTAAAAAAAAATTCGGTAAGACATTTAGGCAAGAAGTAGGGCACGAATTGTGCTTCCCTTCTTTCGAATCTGTTTCTTTATGCATATGAATCGGAATTTCTGTTCGGATTGGCAAAGTCAAAACAAGGTAATTTTGCCAAGACGTTTATATTCAGGTATATCAAATAGGCCATCCCCTTCCACTGATTTACCCACCTGAACAAGTAAAAAAGAAGACGAGTGAGACGGCCTCATCTGTTTCATATTTAGATCTATGCCTAAAGATTCAGAGTGACAAAACACTCTCCACAAGACTGTATGACAAAAGGGATGACTTTAACTTTCCAATAGTCAACTTTCCCTTCGTATCGAGCAATATTCCAGCAGCTGTTTGCTGTTTACATGTAACAACGTTTGAGATACAATCAAGCATGCTCTTTCTACCAAGATTTCAAAGAGCGCCAGACGACTCTTGTACAGAAGTTGTTTCATCAAGATTACAACATTCGAGGCCTCAGTTAGGCTTTTAAGCTTGATATTTTGCTAAAAGAAATACAATTCAGCAAGCAAAAAAAAAGCAATAACTGACAGAAATCCCCCTCCCCTATCCCATTATTAAATGTCGGTTCCTCATATCCTACTTGTATGGCAGGTCCTGGTAGCATCCTGTTCGTCGTGATGATCCCCCTCCCCACGCCGTCAGCAGCAACGCAGTGTGGTCTGTAGCAGTCGGTGATGTTGTACGGGCAGTCATAGCAGGCTTTGGTCAAGACGTAGTAGTATTCTACTGTGAAGTTGTACACGCAGGTCATAGGGGGCGCTCCATCCCCACACTCACGCATACAGGGGTGGCTGGCATAATCTGAAATATACACATTCATGATTACTATGCATTGACATGTGTTCAGACAAGAAGTAGGTATCCCCCATGAGCATCAGTTATCCTCCTCTTCTTGCTGATCTGTTTCTTCATGCACATGAATCACAATTTCTGCTCGGATTGGCAAATTCAAAGCAAGTGAATATAGCAAAGGGAATTTAAATTAAAGGGGAAGTGTACACGCAAAAATCACTTTCTTTCTTTTTCTAAACAAAACGCAATTTTAGAATTAATTAGTATCTGTGTTTGAAAATATACACTCATTTTTTTTTCACAGTGAAAGTAGGAAGCTCACAATAGTGTTAAAATGATATGCCGTTATGAGGCCTTCGTTTTTCGAGCTAAACAGGCCTGAGTTATCCCCCTTAGATTATGACGTAATTGGTGCCAATTCAACTGGGTCCCTGTCTATTCTCAACGCAAAAAATATCAAGTACCAGTTTGCGGTAAAACAACATGGCCTACGACACACTCCGGCGCAGTGGTGACTCAGCATATCACTATGCTGGCTGGCATCTGAGACGCTAGAATCACACACCTAGACCTACACCACGTGAAGCGGCTCTAACAAAGCATGATGACGTCATAATGTTTATCAATTGGCACCAATGACGTCATATTGCAAGGGGCATAAGCCATGGTGTTTTTGTTGTGGAAATAGAACACTTGGTAAATGTGAAAAATATAAATCATTTTAATGCGAAAAATATGTTAATTAATTGTGATATTTTTATATTTTTGTCTATGACACTTCTGGGTTAACACTTTTAATGTGGAAAAAGTACAAGAAAAATATGTTAATTTCCGTGTGAACTTGCCCTTTAAACTTCAGGTATATCGATGATTTGATATCGTTCAATAATGATCAAATAGTGAATCCCTTCTATTGATTTACAAACCTGAACTAGACGTAAAAGAGACCAGTGATACCACCCCATCTGTTTAGGTTTAAATCTATGCATGAAGATTTATAGATGCATGAGTTATAAGGCATTGGCTACATTTGTTATGACTTCAGGAGCTCCAGTCTTATGTCTTCACTTATAATCTCTTACTGAACAATCGAGCATAATCTTTGAGCAACAATTTCAGAGTCATACTCTTGCTTGTGTTTACTCAGGCATTGGTTAAGCTTTCAAAACGTTTTGTGTTTGAAATGTGAAGGTCATTTCAAAATTTGATACCTGAAAATTATGCCCGATGCAATTCCATATTTCGACTACCATATACATGAGGGATGACTTCAACGTTCCAATAGTCAACTTTCCCTTCCTATCGAGCAATATTCCAGAAGCTGTTTGCTGTTTACATGTAACAACGTTTGAGATACAATCGAGCATGCCCTTTCTACCAAGATTTCAATGTATGCATTGCTTCAGGTGAGCACTTGTGACTTGCCTTTACGTGTGTTTGTGACAGGTACCATCGGTGGGGCAGGATAGGCGCACATTTACTGGATACCCTTGTTTAACTATTATGTGACACGTGCATAATAGATAGTCGTATCTGTTTGAAGCAGATTTCTTTTGTGAATACACAATGGCAAATGTAATATTTGGTATCACACTTTCTTACTATGCGGAGTTGCGTTCCTTGGGCACGCCAGAATCCTATGATAGTGGGTTCGAATCCCGGTTCGCCCCGATTATGTTTCCAGGTTTATCAGCACCATATTCACCGAAGTGGAAAACGTCTGAGACCTGCATCACTCGGGGCTTTCCTCCCACATTAAGGTGACACGCCGTGATATAACTTGAATACTGTTAATAGCGGCGTTAAACCCAACTCACTCACTACAAACTTTAGTAGTTTTGGGGTTGAGTCCCGTCCGGGATTCGAACCCATACTCTCAGAGTGAGGCACCTAATCGTCAGCATACAAAACCAGGGATCAAACCCACTCTGCCACTGTATTGTGGAGGCCTGGATGATTGAGTGTTGGCTGGGTTTGTACAGTTTGTAGATGGTCTATATGTGGCTAATATTTATACCGTTTGTTGGTGGCTTGAAAACATGAATAGTATGCGGACAGTGTGCAGGTGGATGGTTTTCACGGATAGTATTCAGGCAGTTTATAAATATACTGAATACAAGGATATTAGAAAGACAGTTTGTAGATGGATTGTTATATACATGTATAGATTCTACTCAGACAGTGTGCAGATGGATTGTATACACAGATTGCATAAATGGAAGTTGGGTATTATGTGAGTATAATCTATCTACAGACGTCATAAATGCAATCCATATATAGTTCATCTTCAAGTACACAAGTGAGGTGAGGTGAGGTGAAATTGGGTTTAACGTATATTATTGCATAGGTGTATATACGTGTGTGTGTATGTGTGTGTCTGGCTGCTTGTACTAGTCCGGACTGATGCCTATTTATAGTGCTAGCTCAGTGAGATACCATGCCGCAGTTTAACATGAATACTCCACTCGGACACAGTATACTCCGAGCCGACCAGTCCTTGTTTTAGCCCCTTAATGCCGAGCGCCAGACAGGGTAACAACAAGTGCCATATTTTAACGTCTTTTGGTCTGACGCGACGGGGATCGAACCCTGGACCTTCCGCTCTCCGGGCGGACGCTCTACCACGAAACCACGGAGGCGGTCACTAGCATACATGCATACAATCCACCTACAAACTGTCTGAATACTATCCTTGTATACAACCAATCTGCAAACTGTCTGAATACTATCCGTGTATACAACCAATCTGCAAAACTGTCTGAATACTATCCGTGTATACAATCCATCTGCAAAAATGTCTGAATACTATCCGTGTATACAACCAATCTGCAAACTGTCTGAATACTATCCGTGTATACAATCCATCTAGAAAACTGTCTGTTTCCTATCCACTTACACAAACGCCACTACAAACTGTCTGCATACAATCCGTGTACAGACTGTCTAAATATCACATTTGTATACAATAAATTTATAAACTGCCTGAATTCTATCCGTGTCTACAATCCACCTGCGCATAGTCTGAATACTATCCATGTATGCAATCCACCTCTAAACTGTCTAAATATACATACATAGTCCATCTGCAGAGTGAATACTGTTCATATATAACGTCCATCAACAAACAGTCTAAATGCAAGCCATCTACCAATTGTCTAAATACTATCCATATATACAGTCCATCTAAAAACTGTCTGAATACTATCCATTAACACAATCCATCTACAAACTGCCTGAATACTATCCATACATAATCTATCTACAAATTTTCTGAAACTGTTTAAATACTATCTATGCATACAATCAATCTGCATAATGTGTGAAAACTATCCATGAATGCAATCCATGTGCATACTGTCTGAACACTATCCATATGTACAATACCAGTGAAGATCCGGGGTAGAATAGGTCTTCAGCAACCCATGCTTGCCGTGAATGGCGACTATACTTGTCGTAAGAGGCGACTAACGGGATCGGGTGGTCAGACTCGCTGACTTAGTTGCATGTCATCGATCTCAATTGCGTGGATCGATGCTCATGATATCAATCACTGGTTTGTCTGGTCCTGACTCGATTATTTACAGACCGCCGTCATATAGCTGGAACATTGCTGAGTGCGGCGTAAAACAACAAACCAACCAACCATATACAAGTATACAAACCATCTACTACACTGAATACTATCCATTTATGCAATACATCTACAAACGAATATTATTTATTTATTCATGCTAGCGTATAATATATACTGTTATTTGACCACCTCCAGGTTAATATTCATATTCATTTTGCCTATTGAAACTTAAAACGCCCTCCAAAACAATTATATATTTACTGTTCCCGAACAAATATAATGTGGACTTTACATTGGTACTATTTTGAAAAGCAAAAGTGTTGTTGAGTATTAATATGAGACGTGGCGATGGGGTACACGAGGGGGTAGTAACGCGGGGCATGTGACACATATTTACTCAATGGTTCATTATTATTCAGCTCCCGTCCCGCATGTGGAGGACTGGAAGGTCCTTGAGGCTATATTACAAATACAACAAAGGCTATGTTACAAATACAACACAACCCGGTGTTTACCCCCGTCGCCCCAGCTCTGCGGTTTGTGAATACTAAGAGGGTATGTTTTATAACAACTGTGTTATGGGATTATTAAACAAAAGCACCTTACCGTATATAATTGCATTAACGTCTTTCTTCGTTTATCGTTAACAAATGCGAATATTATCTTTACGTTTTACATTTCTTCTGAAAAACAGTGTTGGAATTATCTTTTAAATATTATGCGTCAAGAACAAGTCGTCACGCCAAGCACATTTCATCCCCATCGTCATCATCACGTGAGCACTTGTCCACTTTGGGTCATTATTGTTCTATATCGTCAGTCAAGTTGGCGGGACACCAAATGAACACATTCTGCCATCCTCGATTGTACAGGGTATTATATCTCCATTCTATTGTGATAAATACCCTGGACCCCTTTGTAGCCATAGCTTCGTTTAAGCTAGATTCGAATGGAACAGTATTAAAAATACCTGTCAAATCAATCTACAAGGTGAGGTGAAATGGTGTTTAACGTCGCGTCCAAGATTATTGCACTTATTATAGCGACTGCATGTACGTGCCTGTGTTTGTGTGGCTGCTTGTACTAGACCGGACTGATGCCGATTTATAGTGCTACCATGCCGCAGTTTAACATGAATACCCCACTCAGACACATTATACCGACTCCGAGCCGACCAGTCCTTGTTTTAGTCCCTTATTGCCGAGCGCCAGACAGGGTAACAACAAGTACCATCTTTTGACGTCTTTTGGTATGACGCGGTCGGGGATCGAACCTTCCGCTCTCCGGGCGGACGCTCTACCACTAGACCACGGAGGCGGTCAAAATCAATCTACAAATCCAAGTGAGAATTTTTTAGAAACACGAGAAAGTACGAGATTGAATGTGTGATGGTCAAAGGTATTTATAATAGAATGTAACTGTAATACCCTGCATTGTCGAGGATAAGAAATGTGTGGTTGTGTTCGTAGGTCAGGCCAGAATACAAGGATCCAAGGATCGTAAGTTAAAGTTCACCCTTATTAGATTTGTTTAATTTGTCAGCCCCACACTCGTTCTTGTGAGTTTCCCTGAAGTGGTAAATATTTAAGACCTACATCTCTTTAGGCATCCCACCCACGGAAACGCCGAATAATGGACGTTGAACCAAACAAGTACAATCAATTTGTAATGTGTTGTTCCAAGAACGCTCACACTTTTAAATCAATAAATTGGGATATAGACATGACAGCTTTAATAAAGATTAGGAATTAAAGAGGGTTTATCTTTACTGCCTTGTAGCGTCAACAGATGAAGGTATAAAGTCACCTGTTCAAACCAGTTGATGCCAATTCCTTTATAGCAACTAATAACTTCATATTTTATAATCTTTTCGATTTCGCATTAAGAAAAGGCACTTACTGTGTCAACCGTCCCGCCCTAATATGTCATATAGTGGCTGGGATTGGTTTCATGCTGAAACAAGATGAAGTTGACATTCTGAAGCAGTGTAGGACATCGAACTCGATGGTAATACTCCTTTAAACAATATTCCGGACACATCGAATGAACTGGTTGTATTCATTGTACTGATTTCAGCAATAGGCTCGCTACTACCCTTGTTGCTCTAGACACGAGGGGGCACGGGTGGCCAAGTCGTCTAAGGCGGCGCGATTCGCTGTGCAGAATTGCGTCCCCTGGAAACGCCAGAAACCTATGATTGTGGGTTCGAATCCCGGTTCGCCCCGATTATGTTTCTAGGTTTGTCAGCACCATACCCGTGCTCGTGGGTTTCACCGAAGTGGTAAACGTCTGAGATCTGCATCACTTCGGGCTTTCCTCCCACATTAAGCTGACACGCCGCGATATAACTGGAATACTGTTAAAAGCGGCGTAAACCCCAATTCACTCACTCACTATGATATAAGGGTAGCGCTATTTTTCAGGGCATTATCATTTGCAGAAGCCCGAGGTCTTCCATTAACTCCATTAAGACCGAGGGCTTCTGCAAATGGCAATGCCATGAAACATAGCGTTACCGTTATTATAGCTAAAATGGATGGTATTTGATATCAAATAAAAAGAAACAACAATGTCGATTTTGAAACATTTACTGCAATCAACACGATTGTCACTGACCCACTTTTACAAATATGGAAACGTCATAGAACAAACCAGATGACGTCACTATTGAACGTTACGTCACCTATCCCTATCCTATGACGTCACCTAACAACGGGCGTGATAATGGCCCGTCGTCAAGTAATATGAGGGCATTATCAAGTTACAGTGGCCCGCTCATTTCTGATAACATGCGGGCGTTTTTATGACAATTCTATACATTTTAGCTATAATATTGCAATATTTTAAAAAGAAAGAAACGTGATGGCATATCCATCCTATCTATCTCATCTATTCCACCCTATTGATAGGCATATTTAGTTCTCGTAAACTAACAACATCATCATCCAGTATTGGTGTCCACGTACTCAGTTGCTATACAATGGTTTGATGTCACTCGAGGTCGTGCTCGGCCATGTTTTCCTTCTTCGTGTGTGTACTTACACACTAGGTGTAAATGTGTGTGTGAGAAGAATATGACGCCAGCATTAGCAATTCTGAGGAACACCTGACATTGGCCACACCACCTTACAAATGGATAAACGTTGTTGCTTGGCGGGCCGAGCCAACGTATTAACTGTGCTACACAGTGCAACATATTTCGTGTAATATGCGGAATCAATAAGAGTGAGTGAGTTGGGTTAAACGCCGCTTTTAACAGTATTACAGTTATATCAAGTCGTGTCAGCTTAATGTGGGAGGAAAGCCCGAAGTGATGCAAGTCTCAGACGTTTACCACTTCGGTGAAACCCACGAGCACGGGTATGGTGCTGATAAACCTAGAAACATAATCGGGGCGAACGGGGATTCGAACCCACAATCATAGGTTTCTGGCGAGCCCAAGGGACGCAACTCTGCACAGCGAATCGCGGCGCCTTAGACGACTGGGCCACCCGTGCCCCCGGAATCAATAAGAAAAAGGCCTGTTTGTGAATTACTAAATATTTTACCTTTAATTATGAAGTATTTAAATTAGGTATGAATATTTTATTATCCGACATACGTCCTCTCCCTCTTCCTTTTTATACCGTATTTACCGTGCTGTATTTATCTAATGTATGATATAGCAATACTCCAGCCATATAATTGAGAAGGGGACACCAGCAATGGGTTTTACATATTGTACATTGGAATCGAACCTTTGTCTATGGCGACGATCCAACGCTCTAACCATAGGTTTCTAAACGAGGCTTGAACATTCCTTTGACATTAAGAATTTGATTGATACATGAATATCAATATATCAGACATTAGTTCCCTACAGGTAGGCTTTCAGAAGTTCCCATTTAACTCAAGTTTCAAGGTCACCCAGCTGGTCATGTTTCTTACCTTGTAGCTATAACTGACACAACCAGCTTGGCTATGTTTGAAATACCGCTCTTAATATTTGAATTAATATGTTCACCATGTCAAGCAAATGCACTCTTCCTCAATCAGACTACGTGACACATACATGAATGTCATTGCTGCAGACAGATTTGTGAAGACTGCCTGCACGTCACGTTCAAACAAGTCCAAGGTAAATGCATTAACAGAGAGCAACTCGGTGCATTGCAGAAATATACAATGACAACATTTAAAGTATTATAAGAAGACATGTATACATAAACGTAGGCCAAATAACGTGCCAGGCTATATATTTGTGGCAAAATTTTTTTTCTTTATTATTCAATAGCGACATCATTTAGTAATACATCCGCCCACACAAGCCGCCTATTCACTCGTTTGGGACAAATGTTAAGAGAGCATGAAAGAGAAGCCATACGGTGGGTATTGCGATAGTTTCAACAAAATGTTTCCTAAAAAATTGCATGAGTGAGTGAGTATGGATTTACGCCGCTTTTAGCAATATTTCAGCAATATCACGGCGAGGGACACCAGAAATGGGCTTCACACATTGTACCCATGTCGGGAATCGAACCGGGTCTTCGGCGTGACGAGCGAACGCTTACCCCTACAGACTTTGCACCCAGATCGCACACACACACACACACACACACACACACACACACACACACACACACACACACACACACACACACACACACACACACACACACACACCAAATGAATCAACGAGGGTATTGCAACAGTTTCAACAAAATGTTTCCTCTATAAATTGCATCGTTAAATATGGGTATGCATTCACTGGTAAAATCAGTTGCTAAAGACTCACCTGATAGTTCGTATTCTCCTAAAGTGACACAAATTCCAGCAAATACCACAAACAATATACCAATCATGTTGGCAGTAACACCGAGAGGGAGGCGATTGTTCAGAGGAGTTTCAGAGGTACCCGTCCCGTTCTTGCTACATGTAAGAGAATACTGTCAACACTAGTCCGCCCGATATACAGCCGCCCTTGCTTGATAGAGCTATATACTGTCAACGACAGTCCTCCCAATATGCGCAGGTAGTCTCACTCAACACCCATCTGCGCATCCTCTTTCATGTGTGAAAAAAAGACATTACACAAGAGATTATATCCATGAATAAGTACAATTGTCAATGTGAGGTAAATATTTTTTGTCAATAATACATCGGCACAAAATCTACAGCTGACTTGAAACACAACAGACATGTAACAACACTACAGCAGGCATGTAACAACACTACTAATATCTGTAACAGCACTACCGCATACCTGTAACAACACTACAACATACATGGAGCAACACTTCAACAGACCTTTAACAACACTTCAATATGCCTGTAACAACACTTCAATATACATGTAACAACACTACAACAGACTTGCAACAACACTACATCAGACCTGTAACAACATTACAACATGCATGTAACTACAAATACATGTAACAACACTACATCAGGCATGTAACAACACTACAATATACATGTAACAACACTACAACAGACTTGCAACAACACTACATCAGACCTGTAACAACATTACAACATACATGTGTAACGGCCATAAAATGTCCGAGTCCCGTGATGGGATTCGAACCACGGACCTTCTGATCACAGGTCGGACGCCTTGTCCACATGACCAAAGAGGTTAACCCCGTCAACAAGCTGACAAGGTAAGGATGTCATCTGTGGGATGACTCCACGCCCTGCTACATACTCCCCCGTCAACAGAAGGCACGTCCCGGGCCGCATAGTAGGGTACTGAGGCTTATTTTGCTCAAATGTAATATGAACGTGCTCAGCCCCACGTTGGGCGCCAATGTAGCGGCCATAAAATTTCCGAGTCCCCTGATGGGATTCGAACCACGGACCTTCTGATCAGAGGTCGGACGCCTTGTCCACATGAACAAAGAGGTTAACCCCGTCAGCAAGCTGACAAGGTAAGGATGTCATCTGTGGGATGACTCCACGCCCTGCTACACATGTAACACCACTACAAATGCATGTAACAACACTACATCAGACATGTTACAACACTTCATATACATGTAAAATCTCGACAACATGCATTTAACAGCATTACAACAGGCGTGTAACAACACGTACAACCGCAAGTACAGAATCTGATAGTACTGGTGCGTGATTTAAGAGATTTCGTCCTCAATTAACATATACTGGCCTTATATGTGGGCTTATGTTTTTTTTATCAAACAATTAATGTGACTGTATTAAAATGTTTATGCCGTTTGGGGTCTTATCAGTGGGGACAACAACAAGACCAACCAGCCAGGGATAGTTGAAGACATGTCCCTCTTTTTCAGTCGGTCGGGTAGCCTAGTGGTTAAAACGTTCGCTCGTCACGCCGAAGACCTGGGTTCGATTCCCGACAAGGGTACAATGTCTGAAGCCCATTTCTGGTGACCCCCGCCGTGATTTTGCTGGACTAGTGCTAAAAGCAGCGTAAAACAATACTCTCTCACTCACTCACTCACTCACTCTTTTCCAGTTTGTCCATTTTACCAATGAAGCACTTGCTCTTTTTCAGATTGTCAGCAGGATCATCTCCAAAGGGTACAACGAATGAAACAGTTGTTAAGATGCATGGTAGAACACTGCCCATAATGGTAAGTTTTCCGGAAAGGTTTTGAGATAATAGTTTGATGATTACTCACTAAAAAATTATTACTCACTTGATTCACAGCAAACACCCATGTTTGAACAGTTGTCTGATACTACCATCTTGATATGTGCATTAAAAATGTATGTTTGTTATTTGATGTCTTTCCTTTCACAAACTTTATACATTATTTACCATTGATACTACGATCATAAACAACATAAGGTGAATCTGTGGAAAGCTTACGAGGCAGTAATCCTCTATCTACTTTGATAAATAAGTATCGGCATCTGGCAATCACTATCAACACGAAAATACATAGTTCTGTGTGCTTGTTGGGTTTCAGCGCCGCTTTTAACAGTATTTCAGTTATATCACGGCGTGTCAGCTTAATGTGGGAGGAAAGCACGAAGTGATTCAGATCTCAGACGGGTATGGTGCTGACAAAACCTAATCGAGGCGAACCGGGATTCGAACCAATCATAGGTTTCTGACGCGCCCAAGGGACGCAACTCTGCGCAGCGAATCGCGGCACCTTAGACGAGCGGGTCACCCCTGCCCCGCCTGTTAACATGGTTACAATCATCATATATGTTATAGACATAATTATTACTGATGGAATTTATTCCTTTATGAGAAATCGAGAAAATGAGTGATTAAAGTCATTAAGGTATATGCACTTTGTCAGTTAATGTAAATTATTCCCCTCTGGTTTCTTCTACGGCTGGTTGTCATATGTATGCGCGTCACGTGCCCGACTGAAATGATACATTGCCTCTAGATTATGCAAACGTAGCTACTGCTTGAATGGTAGCATATATTCAGTGGATTAGATGACTTTGTGTAATTCCACATGATTGTCTTCCTGTTGGCGTTTCATGGTAGAATGGGTCCCAAGAATGTCGTTATTGTCATCCTGCGGGTGTCGCAACCAGAAACGTCCTAAGCACCTTAGGATTGTCCTCCTGTGGGTGCTGCGGGCAGAATAACCCCAGCACGTCGTGATTGTCTTACTGTTGGTGTTGCTGGCAGAATGAGTCCCCAGCACGACGTGATTGTCTTACTGTGGGTGTTGCTGGCAGAATGAGTCCCCAGCACGACGTGATTGTCTTACTGTGGGTGTTGCTGGCAGAATAACCCCAGCACGACGTGATTGTCTTACTGTGGGTGTTGCTGGCAGAATGAGTCCCCAGCACGACGTGATTGTCTTACTGTGGGTGTTGCTGGCAGAATAACCCCAGCACGACGTGATTGTCTTACTGTGGGTGCTGCGGGCAGAATGAGTCCCCAGCACGACGTGATTGTCTTACTGTGGGTGTTGCTGGCAGAATAACCCCAGCACGACGTGATTGTCTTACTGTGGGTGTTGCGGGCAGAATAACCCCAGCACGTCGTGATTGTCTTACTGTGGGTGCTGCGGGCAGAATGGGTCCCCAGCACGTCGTGATTGTCTTACTGTGGGTGTTGCGGGTAGAATAACCCCAGCACGACGTGATTGTCTTACTGTGGGTGTTGCGGGTAGAATAACCCCAGCACGTCGTGATTGTCTTACTGTGGGTGCTGCGGGCAGAATAACCCCAGCACGTCGTGATTGTCTTTCTGTGGGTGTTGCTGGCAGAATAACCCCAGCACGTCGTGATTGTCTTACTGTGGGTGTTGCGGGCAGAATAACCCCAGCACGTCGTGATTGTCTTTCTGTGGGTGTTGCGGGCAGAATAACCCCAGCACGTCGTGATTGTCTTACTGTGGGTGCTGCGGGCAGAATAACCCCAGCACGTCGTGATTGTCTTACTGTGGGTGCTGCGGGCAGAATAACCCCAGCACGTCGTGATTGTCTTACTGTGGGTGCTGCGGGCAGAATAACCCCAACACGTCGTGCTTGTCTTACTGTGGGTGCTGCGGGCAGAATAACCCCAGCACGTCGTGATTGTCTTACTGTGGGTGTTGCGGGCAGAATAACCCCAGCACGTCGTGATTGTCTTACTGTGGGTGCTGCGGGCAGAATGGGTCCCCAGCACGTCGTGATTGTCTTACTGTGGGTGTTGCGGGTAGAATAACCCCAGCACGACGTGATTGTCTTACTGTGGGTGTTGCGGGTAGAATAACCCCAGCACGTCGTGATTGTCTTACTGTGGGTGCTGCGGGCAGAATAACCCCAGCACGTCGTGATTGTCTTTCTGTGGGTGTTGCTGGCAGAATAACCCCAGCACGTCGTGATTGTCTTACTGTGGGTGTTGCGGGCAGAATAACCCCAGCACGTCGTGATTGTCTTTCTGTGGGTGTTGCGGGCAGAATAACCCCAGCACGTCGTGATTGTCTTACTGTGGGTGCTGCGGGCAGAATAACCCCAGCACGTCGTGATTGTCTTACTGTGGGTGCTGCGGGCAGAATAACCCCAGCACGTCGTGATTGTCTTACTGTGGGTATTGCGGGCAGAATAACCCCAGCACGTCGTGATTGTCTTACTGTGGGTGCTGCGGGCAGAATAACCCCAGCACGACGTGATTGTCTTACTGTGGGTGCTGCGGGCAGAATAACCCCAGCACGTCGTGATTGTCTTACTGTGGGTGTTGCGGGCAGAATAACCCCAGCACGACGTGATTGTCTTACTGTGGGTGCTGCGGGCAGAATAACCCCAGCACGTCGTGATTGTCTTACTGTGGGTGCTGCGGGCAGAATAACCCCAGCACGACGTGATTGTCTTACTGTGGGTGCTGCGGGCAGAATAACCCCAGCACGTCGTTATTGTCTTACTGTGGGTATTGCGGGCAGAATAACCCCAGCACGTCGTGCTTGTCTTACTGTGGGTGCTGCGGGCAGAATAACCCCAGCACGACGTGATTGTCTTACTGTGGGTATTGCGGGCAGAATAACCCCAGCACGTCGTGCTTGTCTTACTGTGGGTGCTGCGGGCAGAATAACCCCAGCACGTCGTGCTTGTCTTACTGTGGGTGCTGCGGGCAGAATAACCCCAGCACGTCGTGATTGTCTTACTGTGGGTGCTGCGGGCAGAATAACCCCAGCACGACGTGATTGTCCCCGTGTGGGTGTTGCGGGTAGAATAGGTCCCAAGCACCTCGTGATTGTCCCCGTGTGGGTGTTGCGGGTAGAATTGGTCCCAAGCACCTCGTGATTGTCCCCGTGTGGGTGTTGCGGGTAGAATTGGTCCCAAGCACCTCGTGATTGTCCCCGTGTGGGTGTTGCGGGTAGAATTGGTCCCAAGCACCTCGTGATTGTCCCCGTGTGAGTGTTGCGGGTAGAATTGGTCCCAAGCACCTCGTGATTGTCCCCGTGTGGGTGTTGCGGGTAGAATAGGTCCCAAGCCCTCGTGATTGTCGTGAGATGGTGTTCGATGGTGTTTGGTTTGTCATACTGCGTGACTTGGTTGACTGCAGATCAGCAT